CCCCAAAACCCCAAAACCCCAAAACCCCAAAACCCCATATTTTTAACCGATAATTGGAGATGTTCTGAACAAATCTAAACCAGAGCATCTGAAGCCGAGTCTTGCTCATTTCCAGATAATTCAGAATTGAGTAAATCTTTCACTAATTTAGCCCCAAATTCAGTCTCTTTTGCCTCAATCTGAATCCTCTCAGATGCTTCATTGGATATTTTTCTGAAATCTGCTGAATAGATGAGATATAGATAAGAAAAAGCTACGAAAAAGGCCCCAATAGATATTCCAACCCATATTCCTTTAATACCATAAGTGCCTGATAAAAAATAAGCAGCTGGGATAGATATTGCATAAAACCCTATCAATCATAAGTAAGATGCATACTTCTGGAACCCCATTGCTTTGATGATTCCTTGAGACATCCCTTGGATGTCATCAGCCAAGATTGGAACCAACATTATTGGAAGTGTATCAGCAACTGATGCAACCAACTCTGGATCATTCGAGAAGATACTAGCGAGGGTAAACCTGAAGGTATAAATAACCACCCCTGAAAACACAGCGAAAATTCATGAAATCGAGATTCAGATATTTGAGTATATCTTTGCATCTTGGGGTTTACTTGCTCCAAGACTGTTCCCGATCAAAGTTGATCCTGCCAATGAGATTCCTGAAATAACCATATACATAATTCACAGTATATTAAAGACTATTGCGTTTGTTCCTAAAGCAATTGTACCCAATAAACCTGCCATTAAACTGACAATTTCATAAGTTCAGAACTCAAAGAAAGTCATGGCTGCAGCAGGAAGCCCGTAGGCAAGGTACTCCCTGATCCCTTTGAAAGAATCTCTATTGATACAAAACCAGCTATCCTCCTTAACCGCATTCTTTTTAACTCTGATGTACAAAATCGGACCAAAATAGATCAAAAGTTGCGTTACATTTCAAGCTAATGCTACTCCAACAAAAGACAACTCTAGATAATACACAAAAAAGTAGAGCCAAAATGGATGCAAAACTCAACAAACAAGCTGAGAATTAGTGATGATGTAGAAGGCTCCCTGTGTTCCGAGATACCTTCTCATCAATTCTCATTGGCAATAAGCCCAGATAGAGGGAAGAGATACCTTGACATATAATCCAGCATAGTATGCAGGGATTTCTGGCTGACCAAGAAATACCAGAATTGGCTCTGTAAATAACATTATCACTGCTTGGACAACGAACATTGTTGTCAAAATTACTTGAGCTCTGTTATAGTATCACCCAGCAAGATAATTCTTCCCACTTCCAAATGCTTGAGAAGAGAGTGTCTCAACACCACCTCCAAGGCCGACACCGAGAGAGAAGGTGACAACAGTGCTTATAACATAAGTTAAACCGAAAGCTGATGTTAAATCAGGATTTCCTAATCTTCCTATCACAATCAGCCCTAGAAGATCAACAGTGTTTCTCAGTATCATTCCTCCTACAGAAGGGATTGCATACTTAAGAATGTTCTTGAATCCCGTAGAGTAATTAATCGTACAATCTGGTTTCGTCTCAATTTCAAAACTATCCATTATTAAATAGTTATCATAATCTTATTTTTAAGTTGGACGTACTCGGGGTTTTGGGGTTTTGGGGTTTTGGGGTTTTGGGG